GTGAGTTTGACATGCTTAACCTAGAACAATGACTTGACTGGAAGGAATCTATTGACCATGAAGGCTCACGTGGACTGACTACTCAGTGTCCCACATCTGATCAAAAGGTAATCCTGATAGAACTCCAGTTTAGCCCTGGCCTCACAGGAGATTCTCCCTGACGAGCTCAAAACTAGACCCATGGAGCTTTATATTGAATCAGATTGTAGCATTTACCTTTTCCTAGGCAAGACATCCAAATTTGTCCCAATTTATGATTTTTCACCATTCCCCTATCAATTATGATTTTCTTTATTTTCTTTGATCTGAATCTAACTCATACTTTTCAATCACTCCTGCTTTCTCAACCTTAACGGCTATCATCTCCAGTCCAATGAGGCAATTTTCTGCATTCTCTTCTAAAATCTCTACTTATACTAATATAGCAACAGATGTCAGAACCATTTACACATATGCATTTCATATTATTGCTTCAAAAGCCATTCTTTCTCCCATTATAATCTTTATTTATTTTTTCAGATTACTGCCAGTTCATCTCTCATTCTTTCTCAATATCACCTTTCTCTCCTTTTCTGTCTTGCTCCTTTTTTCTAATTCTAATCTCCATACTTTATTATCTTTCATTGTTTTATTGGGTTTTTGTTTGCTTGTTTGTTTAACAAGATCTTTAAATGAGAGCATACAGACTATATTCTTTATATATTTATTGAAAAAAAAAAAAGTTATTAACTGGGTGTGTTTGGCCAACCTGGACTCATTTCTTGGCATGAGATTTTGCTTTTCTATTTCACTATGTTCAGCTTTCAGTTTTCATGAATGACTCTTTTATGCAGAGTTAATCATGTGTTTCTTCCTTCTTTTCCTTTCCTTTTTTTTTTTTTAACAAATTCACTCAACTCCCTACCCTGTATCCCTGAAAATAAGACAGTGTCTTATATTAATTTTTTCTCCTAAAATTGCACTAAGTCTTATTTTCAGAGGATGTCTTATCTTTCCATGCACTAGGCTTATTTTCGGAGGATGTCTTATTTTTGGGGAAACATGGTACTTATCATTTTGCTACACGTATCCTACACTATAGTAAGATTATTTCTTGCTTTTCTGCTACTGCCCCAATCCTCTGGGATCCATCCAGATAGGGATGGTCTCATACATGAGTTGTTTTAGATGGTCTGGGAAGATCTAATTAAAGGTCAAAGTAGTAGATGCCATGGGAAGGCATTTGTCACTGAGTGAAAGCAATGACTCTTGCCATATGCTTTCAAAGAAGAAAACAAAGGCTATATACATCATGGACATGATTTTGTGCATACTTTTAATTTTTTCCAATAGATAAAGTAACGGGGCAGAATATTAAAATGGATGGGAAGAGGAAAATTTTAGTTAATTATAACCAAATCATACCATTTCTTGTTTTTACTTCTTTTTGTTTCTTTATTCACTATTTTCCTTTTCATTGTGAAAGTGTATATTTCCATTTTTGTTTTCTTGGGGTTTTTTAAGGTCTTTTTCTCCTTTGTATATTATTAGGGTCATGACTTCTGAATTCGAATTAAAATGCCTGTTTTTTCACCTATTTTAAAGATAATATACTAAGTTATTGCTCTCTGTTTGATAATGTTCTTTCCCCCTTCCTCTGTTACATTTTTACATAGCCTCTATTTTACATTTGTTTTCTATTTGCCTCACATTGAATTAGCCTATGTCATATTAACAGCCAGATGACACCTGTGTGTTGTGGGTTTTTTTGTGTGTGTTTTTGTTGTTGTTGTTGTTGTTGTTGTGTGTGTGTGTGTGTGTGTGTGTGTGTGTGTGTGTGTGTTTACCATCCACTTCTTGCTGGTTCAAACTCATTCATACTGTTTTAATCCCTTTGCTGTGGCTCCAGCTGTGTGACAGGTTGGTGTACAGATCTCCCATCTAGGGCAGCATATATAGAGTCTAACTTTCCTCTAAAGTAAGGTGGTGCCCTACGTCCAAAACAATGTAGTTTTAAAAGCATGAAAAGCTAATAAGCTTCTCTCCACCATCTGCCTACCTCTGCTACCACCTACGCTGCTTTGACTAAATTTGGTAGGAAGCAATGTGTCATATGCCAGTCCCTTCCCTACCTTCCTGTTTTTAGCTACTTATACCAAAACAAGGGAAAATGGTGCTGTGAGGATACTACTTTACCTATCCCAAGTAGCAACACCTTCTATTGCTACTCAATGATTAAATCATGGCAATCCATATTTTGAGTGGAAAAGGCCCATGAACCTGAAGGTAGTTAATGAAAACATATTGAAATACTGTCTTAACTTCCAAATGAATAAGAATAGTCTGTCTACATGTATAAATCACCTGTTTGTTTTGCTTAATCCAACATCATTAGCCTTAGGAGAATGGGACAGAGATTACTTCTATTAAGCTTAGTTTTGGGGGATTTTTCTGTGTAAGTGTTTTAACTCAAAGTTGGCTAAGACCAACTTAGGATGGCACACTGCTAATCACATGTCTTAGAAAACAAGAAGTTTGATAATGATGTTGACTACCTTCCAAAGCATTGCAGATAAGTAAAGTATGGAAACATATATAGATGTAGAACAGAATTAATGTGGAAAATGTCAATACCACATAATAAGTGGCTGATATTTGTTATTATGTAATGCTTAGAAAGTCTTTATAACTCCATATGAAAATATTATATTCTGTTATCTTGAATGGCTTTATAATTAATTAAAACATACTTTTAAATTATTTTCATATCTGTTAGATATACTATCTTAACATTTCTAAATGAACATGATAAAATTTTGGTAGTAAAACTATACGAGCTATTGAAAAAAATTCAAATTATGTGATTTTAACAAAAAGTACCTGCAATGCTTCTTTCAATCTCCCATCACATCTAGCATAGTAAACTTTTTTTCCATGAAGGTGGGAAGTGAGTGGGCAAAATGTGAAAGACTATTTTCAATAGTGTGCTGGTAGTGATCTTTTTAATGTGAGATTCAACTCTTTTGCAAAGAAGATTATTTTCATAACCTGTGTGTCATTCAGAAATATCAGTGGTGGTTTTAGTCAACTGGCCATAAAAATAACATTAGAGAATATGAAATAACCAAGGCTCTTTCAAATTCTGGTGTGTGTTTTATGTGGGTTATTAGTGATTTTTCTGCACTTCTCAGAATGTCCTTTGTTTTGTACATGCAGAAGTAATGCTGCAATAGAGGCCAGACCCTTGAGGTGTTGGCTTATTGACTTCTAATAGATAAGGCCGGTGGCCCTGTTGACTCTTAGGAGTTAGTTGTTAGTCTTGAATGAGGGAAAAAAAAATAAAACTTTTTTTTTTTTTCATAGCAGATGAAAATGGAACAGAGAATTACAGAGTTTCATTGAGTCATAGAATTTCTAAAGACTAGGTATCTCTCAAGAAATAATTAGAATTCTTGATTTTCTACTTATTTATTGACTAAAGAGACCAAAGTGCTTCTCCATAATGTCTGTTTTCAGTACATAATTGGCATGACTGAGTCACTGAAAGCCAACAAGAACTTTTTATTGTTATTTGGCATGATAATTTTTAAACTTATTTAGAGGCTATGTCAATTACCTTTTCAAAATCTATCAGTGATTCCCAATGCATATTGAAAAAAGTAGAAAGCCCAAATTTCAGCCCTCACCCATACCCATACTAATGTTATGCTCTTATTAGCATATTCTTTGTAACTGTAGTTTTCAAAATTGATTCTGTCAACCAGCTAGTATTATTTGATCCTTTTTTCTCTCACCTGTCTTATTCGTTCTTGCATTTTGAGTTTATTTTATTAAAGTCAGGCAATTCAAATGGTCACATAAAGGCTAATGAGATGGAAATGCTAAGATCAGCATCCATGTGAAATATTGCCATTCCCATATAGGGCTGCATATCATCAAGTAAACAGGGTGAGGAAAGGTGAGTATGGCAAATCCATCTTTGAGTGACGCTATTTGGGGGATGGGGAGATTATCTAACATAATCACTAGGAAGCCTGTGCTCCTGAATTGGGTTGTAATATTGAAATGCATAGTTTGATTTGAAATAAAATTCCCTGGTAAGTCTGTGCCAGGAACTTATTGATAATGATGGTGGCTATTATTTTTAAAGTGTTTTTGAGGAATACGCAAACTTCATGTATGAAGTTTAAATAAACCTGCAGTGTTTCTCCTTAGTGTTACACCTACTTTTTGTTCTTTGGAACTCTCACTTTTTTGACATATATTCAAGAGAGGAAGGATTCTCCTGAAATACAGACCAAAAAAGAAATTCTAATTACAGTACCTATAAAAAATCAGAGAAATTCATGACATTAAGATAGCATGTAATTTTGAAAGGGTTTAAAACAACTATTCCTATCCCGCAACGTGGTATGATTTTCCTCAAACATACAAAACTTTGTTGATCGCAGTTTAACTTTACAGTTAGGTCTACTAGGCCAGTCGTATTTAAGAACAGTAAAACCAAATCAAAGAAGCCAAGTAATGAAGAGATGTCTGGATCCCTAAGCTATATCAGTTATTTTGCCATGTCTGTATTCTCCAGCTATAAATTTCATATCAAAGAAATGCCTCACTGTTTGGTCCTCAATCCTGTTTGCCAACACGGGAGAATATATCGTTTTGGACTTCCTAATAGAAAACATATAGATACATCTCTTTCAATGCATAGCTGCTCCTGCAAAAAGAGACTTGGAATGTACCTGTGCTCTCTTTCCCATCTGTAGCGTATTTTCCATTAAAAACAGTCCTTGAGTTGCAGCATCTGCTTGGTTTGGGTTATCTAAGCTGCAGTAAGGAGCCCTGGGACCCCTGAAGGCACACCCCACACACTTACACTGCGTGACCCCAGGTCACAAGTAATGGCTGCAAGCTAATTGATTGAGAAAGGCTTGTCTGGCGGGCCTCTCAGCGTCCTCCCTGTGCATTCCTGACTCCTGCAAGAAAGAGGCACTGGCCTCTCAGCCCTGCAAGGAAGGAAAAAAGAGAGGAAGTTTCTCCTCCTGATTACACTCCGAATTCCCTTGTAGGGAGCTGACTTCTCTCCACCCACTTCTTCCCCAAGAGCTCCTTCTCCCTTGAAGGTGAACTACCAACGCTAAATCTAGGGTCCCAGAGTGACCCGCCGAAGGGACTTGAGTCTTGATTTGAACTGAAAGGACAAATGACCTCCCCCAGGCGGATGGGGAGTGCGTGGAAATGATGTGAAAACTTCAGCAAAGTGCACAGCAGCCGCAGCAGGCAGAAGCCGGGACTCAGATTGACAGGCAAACAAGCCAGCTCGTGCAAGGGGCCTCTGGGTGGCAGCTCCGGGCTGTTGGGTGTTGGACAACTTCTAGGCAACCCTGCCATGGATCAGGGGCAGGAACATAGCACACTTTTTTTGCCCCACGCAACCGTTGCTGTCGCCTGGTGAGTGCAGATTTAAGATGTGATTGGAAATATGGTGTGTGTGTGTGTGTGTGTGTGTGTGTGTGTGTGTGTGTGTGTGTGTGTGTTGTAAAACCAGTAGAGGAATCTCTCCGTGCTCTGAGGGGGGATTGCAGCAAGAGCATTGCTTGTAAGTTCTCACGAGGCGATTTGCTTTTGTTTCTGCTTGATCTCACATTAAACTTGGCAGTGCGAACGGAGGAACACAATATTTGTATTGTGTTGGTGTCTTGCTTCAAATGGTCCTTTTGTGTTTTTTTAAGCCATGCTTTCTCTGTGAGCTGAGTAAATATTGTTTTAGGCAAATCAGGTGTGGAATAGATAATGGGGGAACAGCGGTGTGACAGAAGAGATGTAAACATTTCATGTAAGTCCAACTTTGTGTCACTTCTCCTGGCTTGGTGCTTGCTGCCTTATCTCAGGGATATGTAGCACAGGGTGTGTGTGAACATAGCTTTGTGTGAGAATTCCTGTGACTTGCAAGGTCAGGGCCTGAGTGGTGTCCGACTGCCAGCAAGACTCGCTGGGGTGTCCTCTTATTTTTAACTTAAAATAGGAAAAAAAAACAAGTGCATCCATACATATTAAAAAGTAAGTGTGTGTTTTGATTTCTACAATTGCCTTCTTCCAGCCTCTGTGTGTTATTCCTGGCAAAGGGTCCTTTAAACGTGCTTTGAGAAGTAGCATGCAAACTTCTTTTGTTTCTTTATGTTTTGTTTGCTCATATTTCTCTGTTGAAACTCTGCACACAGTTTATTTTCTGAATTATAATGACCTTAAAACAAGACTGTGTAATATTTAGTGCAGATATTTCAGTGCAAATGCTTTGCAAATGAGTAAGCATGCTTTTCTGGGAGGAGAAAAAAAAAAAAAAAAACACCTAAGAGTGTAAATTTGGCTTCGTTCCTCATGTTAGCATAAGTAGAATCCTATTTTAAATATGCTGTATGTTAAAAATAAAATTAGGACCTTCAGGGAGAAATATTATAGAAGATTTTCTTCTTCAAAATCTGAAATATAGAATTATAGTTTTAATAAGTACCAGACTATGATTGCTGTCATTGATTTTGTTTAAAAAACAGTTTTGTTATGAATGTGACTTCATTAGATGTTACCCAATGAATGAAGTGATATCTTACAGAGGAGACCTGCCTTATCATGTGTTTCACCTCCACGGAAAATATTTAAAGAGAAGCTCCCTAATATAAATTTTGAATAATTATTTTTAAAAATAAAACTGGATTCAGGAAGCTCTTTATGTTTTGAGACTTATAGCCTCCGGTTGCTAAAGCAAATGAATAAATGGAAAAATATATTGAAGTAATTGTGAAGCAATAAAACTTCACAATAAAACTTCACAATTAAGGGAGGAAAACTTTCAAAGAAGAATGAATGTTTTTGCTTATAAGGCAATTTTGAAGCATTACTTAGCTCTTCTTTTTCAAAGATTTATGGAAAGCTATCCACTGTTGCAAAACTTGAGTCTTGACTTTAATACAAAAACTCTGTGTAAGAAGGATAATTAATTTTGAGCTGCTCCTCTGATTTGATACAAGCTTCTTTCAATAATTGCAAACTGCGACTGATAAATCCTTCTCTAGAGGAATTCTTTATGCTCATCACCTGTTACAGTCATTCTTTTCTTTTTTTCTCTCACAAACACATTTCCTAGTTGTTTATTAGTAGTACAGAGAAAGTGGAAGCTTTTTTTTAAATTTTTTCTTTTTTTTTTGAGAGAGAGGGAGAGTTGAAGTTTTCATTTGCATGGGCCTTTTGAGGTTTTTGGTTTTTAAAATTATATTCTCATAAAATTGCCAAGGTTTTTTTTAACAAGGTCTTTGATATGTATAGTCAAGAAAGGAGGTGTCAGTTGTTTGGTTTTTTGTTTCACTATGTCTCATTAAGTAAAGTTAAGGTGTGGCTGAGTGTTTATGAAAGGCTTTGTCAAGAGACCAGCCTTTTGAAAATTTCTCCCTTTAGTATCAAGATTGTAAAAAAAAAAAAAAAAAAAAGTGTTTACCCCTTACCTATTCTCTGCAAACCAGACAAGAGATAAAAATTAAAGGCATCTTCATTATTTTCCTTAGTTATAGCTAACCACAACTCAAGCAGTTACTATGCTATGGGGAGGGGCTACAAAAGAATGAGGTTCCCTTTAATGGAAGGACATAAATTGTGACAAACAAAAGAAAAAAGATCAACTGTTAAATTTTCCTAACAATTAATCTTAAACTTCCGTCTTCACTCTCTTTGTTCATATTTGCTTATTTGTTGAGGCGAAGGCAGCTTTTAAAAACTGAAATCCATGGTTTTATGAAAGTATATGTTTTCTTATGGAAGGCTAATTTTCCTCAGAAGTTTAAATTATGTGTTAGGTTAATAGAAAACAATGGAAATATGTTCACAAATTAATTCTAGGATTATTTCTCTTAACTCTATCTAAAATATATTGACGATTCATTGTTCTGCCTCTAGGTTATTATATTACACCAGTATAGAGTGTGTGTGTGTGTGTGTGTGTGTGTGTGCAGTGTGTGTGTGTGTGTATGTGTGTGTTTGCATTTATGAGCTCATAACAAGGGCAATAGAGTGGTATGGACATGTGATAGGGTTATGACACTCTGCAACTTACTTCCTTAATTCTCATGGCCACTAAATTTCATTATTTTTCTGTATCCCTGCAGCTGTAGACAATTGTTGCAGTGAAATTATGCCTTCTCTATTGAGGAAAAATGTCATAATGGCTGCACTTTTATTTCAATTAAATAAATAATTTTCTTTTTAAAATTGTTTCTTTATCTCTAATCTCCTTCTCTTTCTGGAACACTCTAGGAAATGTATGTGTAAGCTTCATAATATATCATATATATTTCTTAAATTGTCTTTCACACTAATTTATATATTTTTCTAATCTGCATTTTGGCTGAATTTACTCAAAATTATCTCCCAATCTACTAATTTTTGTTTTTATTATTTCTGCTCTATAAGTATCTAATTGATACATTTCCCATTGTTGCTTTTATCGTTTTATCTCTATTTTCTGGAAAATTATATTGATGTTATTTCTTATTTTGTGTATTTAGGGTTGCTAACATGCTTACTTGGAAATTCTGAAATGTATCTATTATTTTTATATCATCTGGAATGACTTCATTGCCTGTTTTTAAACTTTTTCTGATATATATATATATATATATATATATATATATATATATATATATATATTTTTTGGTATGACTTCACATGTCTTAGAATTTTGGTTTTCAATCCCAACATAAGTGAAAAGGATTTAAAAAAAAAATTATCTCATTGCTAGCCTCACCCCAGTGCTGCTCTCTACCCCAAGCTCACAATCTCTGATAACAAAGATATCATAGATCTCAAAGAACAGTTTGCCCCAGATTCTGATGGACAGATTCTAGCTGGTGCTTCTGGCCTCCCCACTACACAGCTCTATGTACACCATGGCTCCAGAGTGATAGTCAGTTATTCAACTTCCTGTTATCTCAGATGTCAGTCACTAACCTGACTCTGATTTGCACTCCCTGGGGGTAAGGGTGGCACCTCAGTTACCTCACAGATGTAGGTAATCCTTGGCCTCTCATTCCAGAAACCAGCAATGCGCTGTATTCACTTTCTGTTTCTATTCTATCAGTGGTTCTGGGAAGTGTTTACATTGTGGACATCACTGTTACATTATCTCATTTAACACTATAATAGATGCCCCTTGCAGGAAGATTCCTGCAATAGGGCTTCCTGCTGTGGTTGCTGCCCTGCCCACTTTCCTCCCTTCTCCCCACCCCACTTGCTTCCCTTCCTTCTGCCCCGCTTGCTTGCTTCTCTGAAGTGCTTGGCTTCTTTCTATGTGTCTTTAGCCCTCACTCTGGCCTGGATATGCAAATTAACTGCCATCTTGTTTGGGTAATTTGCATACTCACCCTGATTGGCTGGTGGGTGGGGCTTATGGTCATAGTGAAGGTGTGGTCAATTTGCATCTTTCTCCTTTATTAGGTAGGATTTTATCTGTTATGATTATATGTTGAAAGCAAAGGTGAGAGGCTCACAGAGTCATTTCAAGAATCACTAGATTACATTAAGGACAGTAGTTGATAACTTAGGCATTAAAAAGAAGGAAATCCTGCCAATGGAGTCAACATGATGAACCTTGAGGGCATTATGCTAAGTGAAACAAGTCAGATAGAGGTAAACCTATACTGTGTGATCTCACTTACATGTGGAGATGTAAAAACCAAACTCATAGGATAGTAAACAGATTGGATAGTTGCCAGAGTCAGGGGTTGGGGGAGATGGTGGAAGAGCAAGAATGGGTGAAGATGGTCAAAAGGTACAAATATCCAGTTAAAGTAGGTTCTGGGAGTATAATGTAAAGTATGGTGACTATGGTTAACAACACAATAATATATTAATGTATATTTGAAAGTTATTAAGAGAGAAGATCTTTAAAATGTTCATTACAAGAAATTTATAACTATCGATATGTGAGTTGATTGATGTTAAAGTTATTGTAATTGTTTCACAATATATACATATATCAAACAATTATGTTGCACATTTTACACGTATACAGTGTTGTATGTCAATTATATCTCAATAAAACTGGAAAAAGAACAGTATTTGGTTAGGATAGAACTCTTGATAAAAATCAATATTTAAGGAACAGATAAAGGAAGAGAAGGAGTTCAAAAGGAGATAAAGAATTGTAGCTACAAGAAATATATTCCAAAATTAAGTTCCTTGCATAATAATAAACTTTCTTATTTTTGTTGTGGGTTTTTGTGAAGGGTTTTAAGTTCACTGTCAAAATTATGAAAGTATGAAGACAAGTTATTAAAAAATTTACAAAATTAAAGCCTTAAGTGCCTGTTGCATTCTATCACTTAGTTTTATTTTACATCTGCCAATCATTAAGGAATGACTTTTTAATTCATGTAATAACTTATTTATAAGCTATGTATTTACTG